AACATTAAAGAAAATAAATGAACTTTTATTATTCAAGCTTGTACTTGAAGAATGTTAAACTTATTTCGAATTAATATGTTTCTATTGATTAAACTGCTTAAGGAACAATGCAATATTTAATATAAAAGTAAAAATGACATTACTTAATATTAATTTAAGTGACTGTTTTCGAAAATATTTCTACAATGAATAATTATGTAATTGAATTATAACGTACAAATTAATTCAATTTAATTATATTATTATGCAATAATATGATTACAACATTTATTTAAAAATATATCTTAATTTCCGAGAGAGACGATGCCTTATTGTTGGAGACATTTTATCATACTTTAGAATAATTATCAAATTAACTAAATGTAACTAAACAACATATTTAGTTTTATTAGAATTTGTCAAGTTTATAAAAAAAAGAAAACAGTTTTGTTACTATTATTTATACTATTTAATTTACTACTTAATGAACTTATGTATAAATCTTTTCGTTTATAAGGTTTTTTGTTCGTGTTTACACACATAGGCGTTTATACAAATACATTCGTAGGATCATCTACATTTATGTATATGTAGTGCATTAAAAATACATGTGCAGTGAATTTTTTGTGGATTATCTAGGGATGGAAGAAATTTTCAAGATGAAATATAACGTAAGCACTAAACGATCGTTAAAGCGATTAAACGTTCGTTAAAACAATTGGAACACATTAATTATTATAACAATAGTACTGTGTGGAATAATGAAATTGGACAGCCTCGTTGAATTATCGCTATTATACGAATGAAAATGTCATCGAAGCCATTATTAATCAGAGGCAACCCTTTATGAAAAGCCAGTGAAGATTGCACAAGCGAAGGGTACCATCCCCATTATGAGCGACAGTGAAAAAGACGCGCAACGCGAGCGGTGCCATAGGTTCCGATGTGCCTCGTTAAATTCGGTTCACGAAGCAGTTTAGCGAAGAAAGAGGCCAACTCTACCAACAGTGCTTCCTCGCTTCGGTCCTCCGTGTTTGTCTTCGGCTCGTCAACCCACTTAGACGCGCCAGCCCGGAAGATAGCGGGCCATACGCGCCATGCATTTACTAATTTTATCCGGGATGTGGAACCTCGCGGGGAGTTCAAGGTTCGACTTGGCGCCGGAACCGACGCCTTCTAGGATGTACGAGTCTGCAGGGAAATTTTCACCTCGGCTAGTCGAGCAGGCACAAAAGGAAGCGAACAGTGCAACTTTTGTTGACTCATGTCGTAATTAAAATTACGCGGAGAAAGTCGGGTGAGCGATTTGTAATAACAATTCGTACCGTAAAATTTGACGCTGAAAGTCTGATTGTTGGATGATTACATTTACAATGTAAATACATCGTATTGCATGATTATACCGCAGTACGCTTGTGAGATTGAGCCTCGAGTGATTTAACGGCGACTCATTAATCGCATATATAAGAACGATTTGTTATTGAATTTGATATATTATTTCACTCTTCTTAGTTATATTTTCACAATTATTCTGTGCATTAAATAATGGACGAAGTTTAATTCTATTAATAGAAATATATTGGCTTCTTATTTAATAGTTTATTTTAAACTTTTTTGTAAATATTTGAATCGTACTTTTTAAAAAAAAAAAAAAAGTAGAAAAAAAAACCAAGTACGACTCGAATGTTAAAACTTTCTTAAGCTTCCTTATATCGATGAGTAAATACTATCATTATCTTATACATATAGCTTTCTAATAAATATATAAGTATTATATGCCGCGCAACAGATTAGGGGAAAAACATCGGAATAAATATATAATAATAATGAATAAAATTGTAATTGTATGTAAGAATACGCTTGTAAAGCATACTTTCTTATTTTTATTGAACTTCGATATTTAAATTTATGATAAACATATTGCCATCTAATAGCGCGATAATGAATTATTAATTTTCACCTTGTTATGTTCCAAGCTAATACCTCGTAATCATATTTATAAAATGTTATCGTCACCCGAGTACTCTTCCATACTTCAAATTTATATCACAACGTATCTAGGCCTTACGAGAAAAGTAAATTTTAAATAATCGCTAATTACTGTAGCTAATTGCATCGCTTTATATTACAGATTACGATAATGGAAAAACATTACAAAAACCTAAATGTAACTAACGCGCTAACTATATTTATAAATTGCATGAGCTATTATTGAGCTTTCAGAATAGCCAACTCCAAATCGATTATAAAATATAATACTAAAAAATCTATTAGAAATATTACAGTAACATGATTTTCACTTTATCATTGTATTAATCAACCCGAATGTTTCAATTCTTCATACGAGTGTCATTCTCGGTAGATCAATCGAATCTTTCCTTTCACAACGATTAACTCTCTTTCAAGTACCCCGCAATACCCCGGTGCCAGTGAATTTCGCCAAACATTCATAAATAATTATCCGCTTGAGATTGCCGCGCAATTGAAGGTCTTAAGCCAATAAACAATTAAGCCACGCCAGATGCACCTCCGTAAGTAACAGTTCCGCGAACTCGGACGCGACGTGATCGCGTGTACGTTACGATCAGTGCCCGTAACACTTTGCTTTCTAAATTTCTTCCACCGCCACACGACCTCGGCATTGCCGCCCGCCGCGAGATCTTCAGTACAATATCGCGCCCCCCCTCCCTCCCCCAAGCGAATGATAATTGATCATAACGACTTTCTATACGGCATCGCGAGCGCTGCTCCCTTTCGGCGTGGTGATTTATAAAGGAGATAAGGAACAAGCGATGGAAGCTGCGCCGCTTTGCGATCGCGGCGCCACGCGATTTCTCTTCCCCATGCATATAATCATTTTTCAATCGCGAGCAATGAGTCTCGGGAGCACACGTCGCGCGCTATTTCCGATTGCGCTTTTCTAACTCATGGCGACTGCTCCGTGATCGACGATCACCACCTTCCAACTGCAACTTTATAATGTGTTAAGTTAGCCTATTTGGTAGAAACATATATTTTGCAAGTCATGCATTGTGGCGAGAGTGAGAAAAATAAAAAGTATTAAAATTTATATTGCTTAGCCACCCTCGTATCATTTTTCTTTATTATTTATTTTTTTTTTTAATGCTTTAATATGTTTGATTTTACCTTTTACGCCATTGATTCTTATACGTCTCGATTATATTGTAAAAGCGATGTTCGAGCCATGAAACCCCCTCCTCCCAATAATTCTGTGTCTCTACGATTTTCTTGGTTAGCCAAGTTTATTGTCAATAACATCAATAAATTTAATAAACGAGATGGGCATTTTTTAAACTATTTTTGTTAATCGAGCCATAGATTTCATTATTATTCATAATTAATATCATTTTGACATAAAATCCATTGATATTTGATTTATGAAGTACTTATGCTCGTTGAATTATTCGTTATTGCTAAATGCCTTTTATGATCTTATATGGATAGGTATAAAATAGATCTTTTATCATTTTATAATCAATGACTACTATGCCTTTGTTTCATCATAAAATCCTTTCTAAAAACAATTTCTAATAATTGTCAAATTTTTAACGATAATGATAGTTAAGGATCTGTTTTAGTAACATACAATGTAAAATTTCCATAGCAAATACTCACGATTAAAGTTCAAGGTTCAATTTCAATTTTGAAGAAATTACAAATATCGATTTGAAGGATAAGCTTCTTTTATCTTCACAATTAACAAATATTGTATAATTATTTTAAATCATTCGATGAAAACAATAGCCAGTCACATAATAAAAATTTTTTAATACTTATGAGAAAATATGTATGAAAAAAATCTTGTGAAATAATTTAATGTATTTTTTTAAGTATCCCATATGTTTCTCGCTTAATTAAGTTTTATTCTATTAATATATGCGAAATACTACAACTGGATATATTATATAGTACAATGTACTATACTGTGCAATGAAACGTGTCTATTTACGAATATGTTTATTTACTTTTAAAAGAAAATAAGCGTTGATATAACTAAATGTTCATATCAACTTCATTCATATGTATAATGTTGATAATTATCGATTTCTATAGATATTTTTGACCAGATTTCTGAAACTTTAAATTTAATTTTTTAATGAAATATCATAAATTGAAATAAATCGTCAAATAGATAATTTCATTACATGATTTAACTATACAAATATTCAAATCTTCGTTTTGTTTTGCAATGCTCGTATACGTAGAACAAATTTCTATAGGACGTAAATTAAATAATTTTTTAAATAGTAAATAACTTTTTAATGCAATTTTATGAAACATGTGACTTATTTTTCTCTAAAACAAATAATACTCCCTAAAATTGTACATTTACAAACTATATTTGTAATGCTACAAAATTTTAGGTTATGAAGACTTATTACATGTTTGTAAATGTAACTTTCGTAGCACAAATGAAAAAAGTTATATTTTTCTTAATTATATATTTTTAACGCGTCTTTTACTCTTTTTATTCGTAACAACATTAAGAATACTTTTTAAAGGAAGTCAAACGCATTAATGTACTGTAGTGAATTCGTAATTCTACGCGTCTCCACGCATCTCCGATTTCTATAGCACACGCACATTTTTTCATACTCAAATTGTTTTATTTGTTTTAAATTGATTTGGAATTAAGAAGATTTTTCATCTAAATTGACGCGCAATTTATCACGAATTATTCAACCTCAGGACATATTTAATTATCCGAAAATATATAACAATTAATAATGTATAAATTGTTATATTCAATGATTAGCAATTAGGAATGCTAAATCAGAATCAAGTAGCGTGTGACCTAATAAATACTTCAACATCAAATGATCAAATATCCTTACGGCATTTTCCATATTGTACATTTTAATATTTATCTCTTAAACGTTGACAGAAATAACAATGGAATTATTATGGAATGTTCATATTTCGAAGTCATTTCTTCTTCATATTGATAATAATAAAAATCTTACCGACTTGTACGATATCTCTACTAATTGTATACGTACTCTTTAAATCATTAAAATTTCGTCCTTCTCCCTGCATTAAATAAAATTAAAATCAATCGTTCTTCCGGACGCAGCGATACTTCGTAGCAACAGTACGGATCATCTCATTACTAAAAATCTTAGGGAATCTCCCAGAAACATAACTGACCGATAAGCGTTTTGAAAAATTTGCGAGCGACAAACCATTTGAACCACCAGTAAACACCACCCACGCACCCATGCACATAACACGCACGCGCGAACCAGGGGGCACAATAAATATCGCAATAACGATGGAATGAAACCGGTACTTGTTCTGTGCGCGTACTTCAACGGCACTCAGCACTCGATCCCAACCACATAAAGTCCGGCGAACCCAACGGAGATTCCCATGTAAAAGACTGACAAAGACGGCGATTAAACGCTATCGCGGAAAAGCTCTGGGAGAATGCGTGAATCAAAGCTGCGGTAACGTCAACATCGTCTACCTGGAACTTAAGGCCGTGCGGTCAGTCTCAGCACTGACGTACACGCGCCGCTGTTGCTCCTGATGGTGCCCGCGACGACGACTGCGGCGACGGCAGCGGCAGCGGCGGCGGCAGAAAACGACGGCCAACCACAACTGCGTTGGTCCCCCCTTCGTCCGTGTTGGTGAACGTACTTTGGAGAACGAGAGACAAACATAAGGAGAGAATGAGATAGATTGAGATAGAGAGAGATAGAGAGAGTGAGCGAGAGAGTGAGAGAGAGTGAGAGAGAGAGAGTGAGAGAGAGAGAGAGAGAGAGAAATGTTGAAAAGAGATGTAGAAAAAGTGAGGTAGAAGGAGCGAGAGTGTAAATGGATGGAAAAAAGAAACACGCATGCAGGAGGTATGTAAGTGTGCATGATAAGGAAAATTGGAGAGATGCGAGGAAAAACAGAGAAGTGAACGAGAAAAAGTAATTAAAGTAGCGTTTAATCGGCTGAGAAAGAAACATAGGGAAAGGGTAGGGCAGGGGAGGGGCAGAAAGGTAAGGGACAGCGTGGAAAGGGCACAACAAGGGATAGAAAGAGAAATCGTAGGCATGTGAGTGTAAGTGAAAAACGGACGAAGAAAAAACGAAATCAGAGTATAGGAGAAGAACAAGAATGAGAGAATGCAAAAGTGTGAAGACGAGGACTGGCAAGAAGGAGAGAAAGAAAGAGTTGAATTTTATGAGTAAAGAGGCTTACACGAGAGCGAGTGAAGGAGCTCAAAGAATTTGTCGCTGAACTGCGAGGAAGGAGGATAGCCATGTGAATATACAGTAAAGTCTTCGAATTATCACGGTTGATGTACCCTTTGCAAAATTTTAACAAATTTTCTTTGTACTTGGTGTGTGATTTTTAAGCAAAATTGCATTTCAACAACGCACATAATTTATTTGAATCCGTTGAATCACTTTAAATTATTAAATTGACTCAAAGTATTATATAATAATAGAAATTCATTGTCCGTGAAGTAATAGATAGGCTAATGAAATCAAATTATGATTTGAAAATAAAGCATACGATATATATTGGAGCATATTCATTTCATAAAATACAAATATTTTTTATTGTAAGCAGGCGCTCGTGAGGATACCCAATTTGAAATTTTAATTTCTTTCTTACAACTCACAATTGCTTGTAAATTATATTTCATACTCACGTACTATATAGTTAACCAATAAAATATTGACTATTTTACAATTATTTACTGCCATGTACTGTGGAGGGCACCCAATACAAGGTCTCGTATATAAATCTTTATAGACAAATGTTATTTTTCTAAAAATAGCTTCTTTTTACTACTTTCTAAAAATAGTACTGCTCAAATAATTTCAATGTATATTGAAATGTATTATATTAATTTATAATCAATAAATTGGCGATACTGATAAATATTAATTTAATGCCTCGTATACGTAAAAAAACATTAAATGTTAAAGCAAAAAAAAAAAAATTATTTATTTCGTCGGGAAAAGGAGGGCTGAAATGAACATTCGTTAGAAAAGAAATCAATAAAATTGAAAGTTTACATTTCCTTTAAATTTTAAGGGACAGCGTTTGTATTGTAAAATATATTTTAATTAACTAATAGTTAATTCAATTTAGAGTAAAGTCATTGTAAGTGATGGGGAATCAATCAGATAAACTCTATGCATTTATTTATAAAGCTAATTCAATAAAGTATAGTTCTTGAATAAGATAATAAAATATGAAGATTAATGAAATCTACCTTTCTTTTTTTTTAATTTATCGAACATTTTTCTTGCTACATTAGCGTTTTGCAGATAAACGCAGGCGCAAGTGTATGCAAGAAGTAAATTGCACAAGTTTTATCAGAAACAATGTAATTTTGGTAATTGAATAATGAGCTAATTTAAATTAATACAATAAACATTTATGCTAATAAAATTATACCGATAAATTACTATTATAAAAATGTTTTATTACATTACCTTTAAATTCACATTTAATTACCGAAATATTACACATAAAGTATAATTTTACATTTAATAAATACTTTCTCTCTATCAATAAAACATCAATAAACATTACATATTTATTTTTATGTTTTTTATTTAATAAATCGCAATATTCCAAGGGAAAAATATTGATTTCTTATCATTAAGTAATTGAAAAACTTTCGAAGCAAATGCATACAGTACCTCAAGATTTTTATCTTAAGTCAGGCCATGTGTTGCGATTGAAATATATAAAACCCTTCCGGTATTGATTGCAACGAATCATCTAAATGCTACACTTTCAAAATTAAATCAAGCGAAGTTTGAGGTTGAATTTTCGTTGGACTAATATTCTTCTCGTGTGCTGCTCTACTGTTACTACTTAATTGAAATTGCCACAGCGGATCAATTTCTTTATAAGATTTAACAAACTTGCGACACTACAAATAAGTTAATTTACCTATGTTATCTAAAAAGATTTAGAATTGCATTATATTAACGAGCATTATATATATATATATATATATATATATTTTTTAATAATATAAAATTATTTATATGAATAAATAATACGAAT